GTGCGTTTGAAGTACAGGAACTTTCCACCTTATTTTGAGCTTATCCAATTCTTTTGCTCACTCAGTGTCCTCTCGGATATAATCTTAGGAAATGTTAATACATCCTATTTTGATGTTTTGCATGGCTCTGCAAAACATCAAAGGCGGCCGGACGTGCCACCTAGCATCTCTATGAAAACACCACATGAATGGCGTAGAAAGTGCGCTTCTTGTAACTTCTTGTGCCACATGCACAAGCGCACAGGACTAACACTCTGCAATATAAAATTTTGAGTATTGTAGTCTGCGAAATGCTGTGAAGTTTTTGGGTCTGTCATTGACAATCGATGTCGTGGTGAAATGGTACTGAGCAAGGAAGATAAGGGTACGAAAGCTTTGTTCTGTATTCAAACAAGACAGGATGTATGCAAGATGGGGATGTAAAGCGGCTTAAATGAGCGGGGGCAAAAGCAAAGAAAGACAAGGATGAAGCACCCAAGCTAAGACTGAACCTAGCAAGCCGCGCTGATGCGCATTTGTATAAGCTTTCTTCGTCTGAGGCTGGATTTTATACGTGCTCTGGAATTTTTAAAGTTATACGAGCACATGCGCGTCTACATGTTTATTGAATGTGCAATAAGAAGTGTATAAACGACATGAGGAATGATTTCTTTGATGGCTTTGTTGAAGGAGTACTTTCTAAGACCTCATTCGGTTCGCTGGATGGCGGAGTACTTGATAGAGACGGTGTAATGGCGATCCAAGATAAGCCACGAGGAGAGCCGCCCTGGGCCCACGCCTTTACCTACAAAAGAAATTTTTAAAGTATAATACACTTCAAAAGGCATCATTTCATAATGTCTCTGTGAAAATCATTTCAGTTGGCATCAAGGCGCAATCCTCGCGCTTCCAATTTTCTCAACGCGCCATCACCTGCAATGTTTTCTAAGCGCGGGCTTCTCATGTTCCCGCCAAGTAACAAAAATTTGGAAAAGAAGCGGCCATGTTTGATAGAGGAGAAAGCAGAGCCTGGAGCTGGCGGCCGAAATGGAAACAAAAGTAAATTTTGAACTTTTCTAACATTAAGATCAATCCATTTTATGGATCGGATATAGATTCCATATATTCAAAGCAAAGAGGTCTTCTTTAAACTTTTGAAAGGATTTGGACAGTGATCATTGCTTTAATTTTTCAAAGCATCGTGCAGAGTTCATATAATGTTGAGAAGTATCTAATTTCTATTTTGAGGCTTTGCCTAGATATAAGTACGTTGCAAAAGTGTTCATGTCCTTTTATTGCACCATCGTAAATCTGAAACAGTTTGCAAGTGTTCGACTTTTCCAGAGTATAGACAAAATAAGAACAAATATCCGATTTTTGGTGAGATTCAAACATGTTTTCCAGTAATTTGAAAACGTCGTGATATCTTCCGGATAATCAGTTGAAACTTGTTACGACTCTTTCTAACAAAACGAAGTTTTTGTTGATTGAGCTCTTTTAGAAAGTTTTGATTTTTTTTAGTCTTTTTGCATTGTTTGTTCAAAAGTTATAGCTCCTCACTCGGATATTCGACCATCACAGACTTCGCCCACTTTTGAACGGGCAAAGTCATTCTACTCTACTTTCCAAGTTATATCGAAACTTATGTCAAAGTTTTGGATTACTTTTCTAAGGTCTAAACAGACCCATTATCTTTCTTGCTACTTTCATACCAACACTTTCTTGCCAGGGATTCTAGCTGCCGTCACAAAGTATATATTTTTCTGACGAAATCAATGCTGAGCAAGTTTACCACAATAGAATGATATCATTTAAAGTGCGAACGAATCTCGGATTAGCCTAATGCATAAAGCGTTCTAAGAAGTGCTGTTCCCCAGCTTACCTCGAAGGTGTTGACAAATCAATAGAAATCCATGACCTGATCAGTTATAACCGTGGATTTGAACATCAAACAAAGAGTTTTTGATTTTTTTTCTCCCTAATGCCTAGATGATTGTTGATGCGTCGCAGCACTTCAACTTCTTCCCCCCCCCCCCAAAAAAAATCTATCAATGGCTTTTGTATCATATCTACAGCACTGACTTGTCACGGACACTTCATATTCATTCGCAACGATCAAATTCAAAGTTTGTCAGAAGAGAAAAAAGGCCAATACAAAAAGCGATGGTTATTCGTAAAGGAAATGGTATGGCTAATTTAGTTTGCTATTGATGCATAAAGAGCCGGGCATATCACGCGATTTTCCCGCGATTCATCCAACAAAACAACTACAATGAGTTCATTGCATGCAGGAATCTTGCGTATCTTTTATGAAAGTTTTCCGACACGACTAGTCGCGACTAACTACCATAACCGAAATGCAAGATAATCAGTATGCAATGAACTCGTAACAGTTGTCTTGTTGTGAGAATCGCGAAGCGATGGAATCGCGTGATATATGCCCGGCTCTCAAGCTGGACGTAGACGATGTTTGGAAACTTCGCTTAAAGCGTTCAAATTTTGACCCGCTTTTTGTTTCATGTGCTTGCAAAATTTGAAAGACATGAATTTAGCCAAAATAAGTTTTTCTGAGGTTTCTTTGATTCTTTATTAGGTTGAAACGCATTCAATACAACTTTTACCGCCTCTTTTCTTGGAATGCATGTTACAAAAAACATTTCCTCACAGAAAATACATTTTCTGAAAGGAGTGTAGACTTGGTAGTTTCTGTAATAAAAACAGAAACCGGTCGTTCGTTTTTCGGCGGTAAAAAAGTTTAACAAGTCAAATAACGCAACTTTCGCCTCTTTGAGAAAGCTAAAGAAATTGTTTAGTTTCAGATTTTTCAGGGTATCTAACTGTAAAATTTTTTCTTTGTTTAGTCTCTAGCTTTAGCGAAGACATATAGCAGAAACCGAGCTGGAATTCGCAATTGATGTGCTTGAGGCCAGTAATTCAAACACCCTGTAATTCACATAGCGAATTTTGATCTCTACTACGACCTCCTATTTCTAATTCACTGCTTTCCTTGCAAAAAGGACTGACGGCGAGATTGCCGCACGGTCAGGGCATTTTCATTGACCCTCATGTAGCAGAATTGGGAACAATAGTCGCGAAATTAGAGTTAGTGTTAAAGGAAGCATCTCTTAGGGTTGGTCCAGACTGCACGGCGTACGCGGCGTACGCTCCTGCAATGAAACATACCGAGCGCACGCTGCGTACGTTGCATACTCCGCTTTCCCAGCGCAGTCTGGTCCAACCCTTAACAAGAAATTGGACCTGCTAATCGTCACAGTCACAATCAATAGATATTGTCTTTGAAACCACAAGACTCTAAGTTGATGTCAACTACTTATGCGGTATTAAACGACTTTGTGCGGCGTGGTACAAAGAGAAGTTACTTTAGGTACCCTAAAGGCACCCTCCACCCAAAATGAGGGTATTGCTTCAGTACGCACGATAGTGAAGCACATAGCCAAGCGACTGCTCACTCGGTTCCAACTGTGAAGTCCAAAACGAGAAAACTGCTTCAGAAGATGTCTGTGCGGACATGTCCGTTCCGTCCATCAGTGGGTGGTACAAAAGTGATGAGGTTCATATCAACTTTCAACTAATAGAAAATGTAAAAAAATCTGATAATCAATATGAATAACAATTTTTTTTAATTTTTAATTTTTTTGAAATTTTTTTGTAAAATTCCTACCTTGCACCCATGTTTGAGAGAAATGAAAGTGGCACCTTCTGCAGCAAATCTCTTGCTTTGAAATTACCTTTTGCAGCTGGAAGATTACTGCACGACTAAGGCGCAGAAAGCAGTACCAGTAGAGCGACCTCGAACACGGCAATGTAATGCGCCTTATGCACTCTGCGGAATAAAGCCGCATCCGTGCTTACAGGTATTGCGCCTTCGTCATGCAGTATAAGTGTTGCTTAGTAAGACTCCCACTATTGTGACCCAACATCTCACCCCAATCATTTTCATTTGTAGAGATACTCAGACAAATGACCGGAACTTCCGCAGAGCGCTTGCGGAAGTTCCGCCGGGTCACCTGCGGAAGTTCCGTAAACGTGCTGCGGAAGTTCCGAAATGAGGTCCTGCGGAAGTTCCGAAGAGTGCCAACCACAACAGCAAAAGAGAACACCGAAGCGAGGTTTGAACCCCACTCTATTGACTGTGAGACTCACCTACTATCCTCTACGCTAGGGCTGAATGTTCGATAATGCACTCTAGTTGTTGGGAGGCAATATCACGAAACAACACATTCAAAGTCCTGCGGAAGTTCTGGCAGGCTAAAGTGCTGCGGAACCTCTGGCATTTTTCGGAACTTCTGCAGGATTTTGAAGAAGGTTCTGCGGAAGTTTCGGTTTTAAACCAGTTTGGCATGTAAATCCTGCGGAAGTTCCGATTTTCAACGTTTTCATTTTTGCAATAGTGAACAAAATCCTGCGGAACCTGCAAATTTTGCTTGTCCTGCGGAACCTGCAAATTTTGCTTGTCCTGCGGAAGTTGGTGATTTGTCTGAGTAAATGTAAAGGTGGTAATTTTGCACTTACTATAATGCACTTACTATGGCCGTAGTATCATAATCCCCTAATTGAAAGGGTTCGTATTTTCCTCCCAAGCATGTATGTAAGAACTGTTCTTCAAAGCCGTACGCGGTCAAACGATTTCCTTCCTACAATGGTGGAAACTTTATGGAGTATCGGTATTTTCTATAGTAACCGTTCTTTCTATAGTAAGCGCACCTTTCTGAAACCATGTCCTTCATCTGGGTAAAGAATATAAGATACAGGAATGGATCTGTTTTGCAGCGCTTCTACAAATTGATCTGAAGAAGAGACATTGGAGGAACTCATGAGAGACCAAATCTACGCACCTGATTCTTGCTGTTTTACTCTAGGGTCATTGGCACCCTGTAAAATCATTAATGGTTTTGTAACTCGATCAGCAAAAAAAAGTGGAGATCGCTCTCTGAGTGCTCGTCGTCCTTCCTCCCTGAAAAACAAATGTAGATTTCAGGGTTTTGGAAAAAATTCCTCACGTTTCAGGATCTCCTCCAACCATTTGTATCAAATCTTGGTAGAAACTCTTCCAGTATGGAGGCACAGTTTTGATTAATGTTATGAGATTTGAAGGCCCAACGATATCCACCCCGCAAGAAAACACTTCTGGGGAAAAAGTGAGAGCCACTAAGGTCTCATAACCACCATAGCTACCCCCTGGAAAACTGATGATCTGATTTCAAGTTGTATTTTTTTATTCAACCCACCCATGATTGCAATCTGCGACCTCTCTGCTATTCGCTTTGCGATGGCAAACTCAACGCCATCAAGAATGTCGAAGTGCATCTTTCTACTCCATTCACCGTTACCGGCGTTCATCAAGCGCCTACCGAAGCCAGTGCTTCCACGGAAATTCACCTTAAATTATCCCCAAGTACTTACAAACTTGACCTCTTAACACAAAAAGAATAGAATACTTGAAGCACTGCATAGCCCCTACTCGTCAGCCACGCATTGACAGGATCAAAACCAAAATAGTCTCTGGCTCTGGGTCCTCCATGTACACGTACAACCATCTTTTGAGGTTTTATAGGGATCATCCCAAGTTCAGCATAGGCTCGATCAGCTTTTGGCACGTCTTTCGCCGAAAGCAGTGAAACCTAAAGTGACAGAATTTGCTGCCAGACTTCAAATAAAACATATCCTACCTCAGGTGGTAGGCTAAGGTAGGCTTGAAGAACCACGCCATCTCTTGCTTTGAAGTCAAACCCCACTTGTCTGCTCAGCTTGTACTGCTTGAGTTGGGGACGCAGGTTGAAAAGAAACTCCACCTTAACGATCTATAATCGACATGTGTGAAAATGAGCTTTGTTTGGAGTTACAGATTTCTGCTCAACCCTGTACAAGTAAACATCATATGGCTGGTCAGCTGACTCATATGTTAATAACCAGGTTGACATATCTTAAAATGAGTTTAACATTAGTCAGAACAAAGATCAAACACTATCATTCAAACCGTTACTAAATTCCATGATTAGCAAGGAGTCATATGGTCGGAAGTTTACTAAGTATTGAAAGTGCTCTACAAATCTGCCATTCACTGCGAATAGTTCTGGCTGGTGATATGTCTAAAACTCTTTCATTCCAAGATGAAATCATAGTCACTTTTCGTAGCAGTTTTTCTAGTTAGTTCTGAAGAGTGATTGAAAGCAAAGTTATGTGGAGGAAAAAATTGATGAATTTGATTTCATATATGATCTGATCAATGACTTGGTATAAGTTTTTGATCCAAGTTTACATACCTCTATAAGTGCAAGCACTGTCTTGTCCGTAGAATGAATTACGATATCATCTATTTCCGCTCTAGCTGCAGTGTACAAAACCTCTCGGTGTTCAGGATCGTCAAATTTAAACGTAACAAGACTTCCTTAATTTTTTACATGATAATCATCTATGGGAGTCTGGCTTATCTAATAAATGACTTGCCGAGGTCATTATTCTCGTCTCCCCAGAACCAATACATATGCTCATTGCTCTTATCGAATGTTATAGGCCTGAACAAACAGCGTAACAGCACTGCTCCCACCGAATAGTCTGTTTGCCCTATTACCGAGTAACCATTTTATCTTCCGATTTGACGACGAGATATGGCTCCCACTCTGATGCATTTGATGTATATGGTAACTCATTCTTTGCTGTTTGTGACCGCCTAAAAAAGATAGGAGAACCTAGCGACATTTTAAAATCATGGTTTACAAGATCTAGGAAACAGGGAACAGGGTGGTTGAAAAGTTGCGCTGGGAAGAAGAGGTATGGACAGATTTTTTAATGATCGAGCATAACAGTAGTTACGCTCTTGCAAAAACTTTTTACTTCTTGAGAACATAACGGATCTATATCCTCCAAATTTAAAGGAAGATGGCGCCCGCAACCTCCTAAAAATTGTTTTGCGGAGCTAGTTCAAAGCATTTGGACTCTCTTCACTTTTTCCCTCTTGTGTCCACCAGGATGCAAAAGTCACATAAAACTCTGTTGGCTCCTTCTGCAAAATGAAGTAAAGAGAAAAGTTGTCTAACACTGGAAACTTTCCATAAATAAACTGTGGTAAACGTTTGAAAAAATTCATATGGTTATAGCTAAAATGCGATCGCCACTTGGCTTTCCCCAAACCTTACTGTAGTTCACTTCCTTCCATCATTAGCGCTGCTTCGATGCTGCACCATAAACACTCACCTGAGATACATAGCTGAACCGTCCGGTTGCTCTTGTATGACAAGACGAACGTTCATGTCGTGGTCAAAGACAAATCTTCCGAATCTATCGTTTTTTATAATTAGTGTCATCGAGTCAGTCAACAGGTCGTACATATAGGCGTTGAAATACCTGAGAGCACAAGATACACTTTTGTGCACATTAATTAACATGTTTGATAGAATTTCACAAACTACTCATTTACCACAATAGTTTTGCTGACTCACACTTTATTATCATCATTAATACCAACTATTATGCGCGCGCTCCTAAGATCGTTGCGAATGACATGAGCAGTGACTTGGGGTTTGTTTGATATTACGGTACTCTTCTGCGGATTTTGGGCTATAGCCTCCTGAAAGAGTATGCTATGCATATAATGTAAACAGCAAAACTACCTCAGATATATTTTTCTTAAATAACATTATATTTTCATCGCCATGTCTATCTTGAGCAAAGAGTATTACATTTGGAACACCCGTCCATGACCAGCCTAGATGTAAAGATTATGTGGGAATGTATTGCAGCGTTTATGGCATACCGATTACGTCTCTTTCCTCTTCGAATGTCACTTGACGTGCTTCCTTACATGAAAAACATTTCACAAATATATTTTTGATGTTGTTTTTCGTAGGACTAATAAATCCATATTCTCTGAACTTATTTACTCATTTCGAGTTAAGTGCTGAAAATGTTTGATACCTTCCATCAGGTCTTAACTGGATTCCTGAGTATTTTGTATAGGAAAACAATACTTTTCTAGGGATTGGATCAGCAGCGCTCAACAGTAAAATGAATAGTAGTTCAAGGAACACCTAAATCGAGCACCTTAATTCAGTGACGTTACTTAGTAGATAGATACTTTTATACACGTAGAAACTATTTCTAGAAGGAAGAGGATGTGGCAGGAAATTTTTGATTAAAGCCTTACTCCTCAGCCCTCTTGGGTGTAGTCTGATTTTGCAAAAAAAAACTAGTTTTGCGAGACAATTTTTTGTAAAGAAATAAATCATTTTGATTGGAAAAACATTCGGCATTTTATGACCTTGTTGGAACATTCTAAATCCCTCATCCTTTCCACTCACTCGCCCTTTACATCCACTGAAAGGTAGTCCTAGTAAACCGAGACTCGAGTAACTGTGGAAGTGGTATCTCTTAAGAAGTTCTTTTTGCGCGAGACTTGATAAAAGTCTACAGCCTCATAACCTGGAAATGGGGACGTTTAAAGCCATCTCTACTATATACTGTGGTTTGCAATGAGCGCACTGCGCTCCATTGAATCGCCGCGAAAGTTAGCCTTCGGTAATTTGTAGAGATTTCAGACCTAATAATCTACTCAGAGGAAATTTGTGACAAACTACATTCAGAGTATATAAACTTTTGAGTTTTGTGTAAAGATTATGGGTTAATCACAGTATTTTTTTAAACGCAATTTTACAAAAAGTGATCATCTCTCATACAATACAATTCCTGTGAATTGGCCTTATCCAACATGAGTTATAATCAAAAGGCTTTTCATTACGGCAATAACTGTTGTTATGAAAATTTATCTGAACATCAAGTTTGAGTACTGTAAGAAGCCGAAACAGCAAGCTCAAAGTGAGTAATGATTGTTCAATCTGTAACAGACCACCGTTTTAATACGTATGCGCAAAAACGTACGTTTAAACCCTCAGCATTTGAAAGTATTAGGTTGGCACAAAAGTTCTTGCGTAATTCAAAATTCAATAACTTTCCAAAGACTAAACCTAAATTTACAATCTTGTATGCTAAAAATATTAGAAGCCTTTCGCTTCATGATGGATGTTTAAGCATACGATTCCGTGAGCTGGACATCAAGAACGAAGCTCTCAAATACGGGGCTTCAAATTTGCGATTTTGAGTTTGGTGACAGAAAATCGCAGAGGGCCGCTGGGTAGCCGAAAAATATCTGTAGAACTTACTTATACAACAAAAGTCCATATGTTACTTTGGAAGGCTTTGATCTTGCACGATGAAGAAAAACAGAAAATTCGTGAAATATGTCATTTTGCGGAAAATATCCCCTCTTGCCCGCAGTTTTCCGGCGAAAACACTCTTTTATAATCGAGAAAAAGTCGCAAGGCTCTAAATAAACACTATGTCTAATTTCTGGTTGCAACGTTTCTGTGGAAAAATTAGAGCGATAAGGGAATTTGTCCTGTGAAAGAGAAATTTCACAAATTTTTTGTTTTCGCATTTCCATGCGAGATCAAAGCCTGCTTAAATAACGTATGGACTTTTGCTGTGTAGGTAAATTGATAAATTTTTTTCGGCTAGCCAGCGGCCCTCTGCGGTTTTCTGCCACATCTCAAAATCGCAAAATTTGAAGCCCCATATTTGAGAGCTTCGTTCTCGATGGCTAGCTCATGGAATGTTGTGCTCGAACTTCCATAGACTTCTAATATTTTTTAGCATACAAGGTTATGAATTTAGGTTTAGTTTTTGAAAAGTTATTAAATTTTGTTTGAATTACGCAAGAACTTTCGTGCCAACCTAATAGATTAGGAGTATAGCATACAGAATTTTTTATGACTGCTTTGAAGAGCATGAGCCTAAATACACTTTTTCGGAGGCACGGGGAAAGTATTCAAACGGCAGAGCTCAAGCCTCTGTGAGGTTTACTTACTATTATAATCATAGAGTTATGCGTGGTGTGGCGTGGGGAACATTAGACGACTCCAGGATTGCGCAACGACGCAGCTATTAAATCGCTCCAACAATCCCATTTGGGAAGGGGCTTCGACAAGTCGGCACAGTTTGGCCGAAGCTGTCCAACGTGACCTTACAGTGGGGATCACCTGCTGAACTGGGACAATGTATGCATACCTGATGGTTGATTCAATATTCCATTGAAGAGAAACGCTCTCCAATCGAGCAGTTTCATAAGCGAACGATGTTGAAAAATCAAATGAATTAGAGAAGAAAATTGACTGCGAATAAATTGAAAGATTGATTTACGAAGAACGGTATCTGCGAAGATGCGGAAATATAGTTCAAAGGCACCTCATCGCGAAGTCGTCTTCCTCGTATATCTTGGACGTTTGATGAACATGGAAAACAATTTGAGAGAAGATCATCAAAACCCAGAACTTTGCGCCCACCTCTTTCAACCTTTCTTCCGGCGCTCTGTTACATAGTTGAGGCCTAAGCCGACACTACGTGACGTTGAAAGCTCCACGTATCTCACAGAGCGCTTGAGTGCAACCTCGGAAGAACGCCAACACAAGTAACATTTATCCGGTCGCAGTACGGATATGATAAGAATGTTCCGTCTATTCAGCGCCGTACGTTAAATGCGAAGAATCGATGGGCCGGTCAGATTATGAGAAGAACAGAGACAAATGACAGTAAGAATAAGTGAATGGATTCCTCGCGAAGCAAAACTTCTCCGGGGAAGACCTTTTAACGAAGTATGCAGACGTGTTTATGGAAAACGGATGGATCTGAGAGGTCAGCTGAATACTGAATGCTTTTCGCTTCTGGAACTCGCCGACGCAGCCACCGGCGACCCCCAAGGAGATCATTGATGTGCGCTACTCAAAGACAGGCTTTAATTTAGGTAAAAGTCTCTTGAAGCAATCCCTCATGCGACCCCCGTCGCTGCAAAACACTACAGCTTTTATGTAGCAAAAGAAGTCTTGATTCGAAGACTTTTCAATTTCATGCTAATTTTACAGAAAGCTGACTTCAAATTTGTATTTTTTATCTGCTCATGCAGATAAAAAATACAAATTCGCATTGCATTGTTTTTTGCTTAAATCGCAATCACAACTCGCAGATAGAGTTGTGATTGCGATTTAAGCAAAAAACAATGCAATTAATCGTTAATGATTTCAGTACACGAATAACACATTTTGACTACACTATCACCAGAATGTATCCAATGCGTAAAGCGGCCGCCTGACATTCCAACGCTGCCTTGTTTAAGCATTTCTGTATAATTTTGCGCCGTTCGCGCGTTCAATGCTCGAAATCATAGCTCAAAAACGCGACGCTTAGAGGCGCGTACAGATATTAAACACAGGTGCGTTGGTGTTCAGTGTTTTCCGGTTAAACTTCGACTGGAAAGCTCTCTCCAACTTGAAGCACCTTTTCTGTAAATGAAATAAGGAGGGAATGTTCCCGTTTTGTTGACTTTTAGTCGCAAAGGTCACACAGGGTGGTTACTGAGCCCCCTACCCCTCTCCTCCCCCTTTCCAGTCGAGAATTTACTACAATATCGATAATGCTGTCTGTTTTTGTGTAACTGTGTAGTAACAGTCACGAAATGTAGTAAATAAAGTGAGTTGCAGTTAAGCTCTCGGACCAAGTTTTTGCATAACAAATGCTAGCAGCATGTAAGCTCGATATGCACAAAAACGAATTATTCGAAAGGTCAGTTCCTTCAAGATCGATTTAACAATGAGTCACTTGGCTTTTATCGACAGTTGACGATCGGACTTTTCAATGTGACAAGTGCGTTCGGCTTGGGAGGCTGCAAGCTATGGAGTCGATTCATAAAGTAAACAAAACGTGTGTTCTTTCAAAAAAACGCGCCAGTAGTTGGTAGTTAGTAGTTGCATAAGCCGTTGAGTTGAGATTTCTGTTATGAAACAGAGAGAATCTTGCAGTGCAAAGCGCATTAACCGTCTCTATAGAAACTAATCATGACTTATAATAACGGGCTAAGGGTGTTTATGCGACTTTGTGTGTGTGTGTGTGTGTGTGTGTGTGTGTGTGTTACGAAATTCGTGAAGCGTGTTCTAGCTAATTTCTTGAGCCAAATTTTGCACGGCGCATGCTACCTTCATGAAAGTCCAACACGCAAAAGCACGAGTAGATTCGTTGAGTGGATCCCTTAGAAATTGCGCGCCAAACGGGTCCACCTGGCTTCCGTACCGCAAAATTCGGTCCGTATCACCACTTTTTGCAGAGTCATGGATGACTTTGGTAAGCAAATGTGCAAGCGATGTAGTTTAGCCAGAAAAGTGGTCGAAAGTTTACTACATAACGAAAACGGCGTCAAAACGAATTGGTTGTGTAAATGGTCAACTTGCCAAGGTTCTAGCTAAGCGTTTGAGAAGATTTTCGCATAGAGATGTAGCTCACGGTGACTATTGACTATTGCCTTTATGGCGACTACCAAGTCATGACAAATCCAAAAACCTATTCAAATCTGCGTTTGTCTTCCTGCGAAAAGTTTCATCCACACGAAATCACCGATCTCACGTGAAAAGACTTTCTAATTGAGTGGTTGTTTACATTTTATTCGTGGTAGTCGGCATAGCGCAGTGAGTTCCAGTGCCACGATTTTACGAGAATGAGTAAGGCACATAGATAGTAGAGCCAGTGTGAACCTCTGCGAAGCAGAGGTGACGCACTGGTAAGTCATAACTTGTTCAACATGAAATAATCTGTCTTGTTTTTCTGCTGGAAAGTTTTCCGTCCGAAATTACCGAACTCACATGAGAAGATCTTGAGAGTCTTGTTGTTCACAACTCAATCGGGAAGTCGGCATTTTCAAGAGAATGTCAGAGAAACCATAATGCTAGCATAAGGAAATGTTAGCTAGCAGAACAAGCTTGAGCCTCTGCCTAGCGGAGAAAATGCAGTGGTTGATGATGGTGGCTTCGAAAAGTTTTCGTGCACGAAAAATCGTGCTTTGCATATATTCTCCATATTTACTTTTTCGGAGCTAGCAAATGACAAGTATTCTGTTCACAATATGTGCGCGAGCAAATGACAAGTATTCTGTTTACAATATATGCGCATAAATGATAACACTGATGGCAAGTCCAAGATGCCAGCCGTTTGAATGAAAATGCTTGGATCGATGACACTCTTTTTTAGTTTTGGAGCTTTATGATCTATGAAACAGCAAATCCAATTCAATACATGAGTTAACATAGGGTCACTGAATTGGGAAGAGGAAAATGTGCATGGACTCGTAGAGCTATTGAATAGTAACGGGTTCTTGCCTGCATCAGCGAAAGAAGCGAGCTTCACCACTTTCGAATGCTTGAGCAGATAAAAATGAGGTGTACTTGGAATGGAATGACTGACTACCTAAGC